ACCCAGATGAAGCCGTTGCATACGGTGCAGCAATTCAAGCAGCTATTTTGACCGGTAGCAAAGACAGCAAAATTCAAGATGTACTTCTCGTCGACGTTACACCACTTTCATTGGGTATCGAAACGGCCGGTGGAGTAATGACAAAGCTCATCGAACGAAATGCTCGCATCCCATGCAAACAAACGAAAACATTCACCACATACGCCGACAACCAACCAGGCGTATCGATTCAGGTGTTCGAAGGCGAACGAGCTATGACCAAAGATAACAATGTTCTGGGTAGATTTGAGTTGAGCGGAATCCCACCAGCACCACGAGGCGTTCCACAAGTTGAAGTGACATTCGATCTGGATGCGAACGGTATTTTAAATGTAACAGCCAAAGAAATGAGTTCTGGCAACTCGAAGAACATCACCATCAAAAACGACAAAGGACGTTTGTCACAAGCAGAAATCGATCGAATGCTATCTGAGGCCGAACAATATCGTGAAGATGATGAGAAACAACGCGAAAGGATTTCTGCTCGTAACAGCCTGGAAGCATATGTATTCAGTGTGAAACAAGCAATCGACCAAGCTGGTGACAAATTGAGCGACGATGATAAATCAAAGGCACGTAATTGCTGCGAGGAAGCCATCAAATGGATTGATAGCAACGGATTGGCCGATAAAGATGAATTTGAACACAAAATGCAAGAAGTCAGCCAGATTTGCTCGCCAATCACGACGAAGATCCACACTGGTGGAGCGGGAAGTGGACCAAGCAGCTGCGGCCAACAAACTAGAAACAACTCCAACAGTCATCGTGGTCCAAAAATTGAGGAAGTCGATTAAATCCATAAGAACATATAGCGAATAAGTAAATAATCAGTATCACAAGCAAAAAGTAATAAAATAAGAAAATTTATTTTTAGATCTCAGATTAAAATGTAATTAGAATTAAGAAGAATAAAATAAAAATATCAAATCTGTTGAGTTGAGAAAAAAAAACAAAAAAATCTTTTATTATAAAGAATTTTAATAAAATCAATGCGAAAAATACAAACCTTTGAATTGCACGAGCAACACGATTCATCGAAAAGCATTTGAGTGTTTTACACCGAGAAACGTCAAGCAATGAGTGACAGATGATAATAACATAAACAACTTTCATTCGCACAATAGATGCGGCTTCTTCTGCTTTACATTTTAAAATGAATCGCAATGGAACATCAAAATTCTTCTACTCCGATTCCACCGTCATTAAACAATAGAATCAACGCTTTGTTGCGGCTGTGCCGAGTTTGTTTGGCTAAAACAGATACAAATTTCATATCCATACATTCGTTGTATTCATGGAGTGGAACCGAAAATCGTTCGACGGTATCGATGATAAAGAATTTGTTGAACGTGAATGTAAGTTTCAAATCAAATACTTTGAAGAGAATTCAACAGCAAATCAAGCAATTATTTATCATTCAATAGATTTCTAGTGAAAAGCAGCAGCCACAGCGAATCTGTTCAAAGTGTTTCAACAAAGTACGCTTGATTTATGCATTTCGAAATCAATGCCATGGAACCAATATCAAGTTGAGGGAATTTCACAAGCAAATTGTGGGCAAATCAAACATTCAACAGTCGAGGACAGACGGTGGACCTGAAAATGTTACTACAAAATATGAAACCACTTTGAAAATCGTTAACAATTTGCACTTGGACATTGCGAGTCAAACAGCTGATGCGTATACGGAGAGGCAGGAAAAGTCTATTGTTGACGATTCCTCAAATCCTAGCATGGATTCACCGACACTCGACCAGAGTTATATCAGATATTCAACTGATCCATACGAAGATATTGCCATTACAATTGAGGACAACCACCAAAATAAGAATTCAGAGAGAGAAAATGAGGCTGCCAAATTACACAAGAGTTCAAATGTGATAGAAGTTTCACCAGATGTCAAAGAAATTCCTCAATCCACCGATGAATCCATTGCTCCACCTGGGGATATCAAACGGAAAAAACGAACCGATAATAGTGACGATGTAGTGAATTTCAGCCCAGCCTCCGAGCTATGTGCACTTTGTGGATTACAATTCGAAAATTCAGCCGAGTACATCCGCCATATGCGTACGAAGCATGACGAAGGTGAAATTCATATCGATTTTTAATTGAAAGAAAAGTTAGAACGAAGAAAAGATTCGAATGGAAAGTGGACCCACTTTTTCTCACGGTTAATCCTATTTTCAGGTGCCAATGAGAAGAAATTCAAGTGCCAATACTGCGGAAAAGGTTTCAGACAAAAAGCTGGTCGAAACTTACATCACAATCTACACACACAGGAAGAGAAATTCATATGTGATTTATGCGGAAAGGTTTTCCTAACCAAAATCAGTATTATACTCCATTTTAAGTATCATTTCGGTATAAAAAAGCACGCGTGTACCGAATGCGGTTATCGTTTCGTCACTCCACGTGAGGTTCGAGATCACATAAAGAAGAAACATTCGGCCAAATCGATAGCTTGTACTTACTCCAATTGTACTGCAACATTCAGCAGTGAATACCATCTAAATATTCATCTGCGAGTGCATGATACAAATCATGCGTACGTTTGTGATATTTGTGGCGTGGCCACGGTCAACAAATACCGTCTAACGGAACACAAACGAATTCATAGCGGCGTCAACAAAAGCAAATGTCCAATTTGTTTGAAGGTGTTCGCTAGACAACGCAATGTCGCACGACATATGAAAACAAGACACAAAGATCACAAACTTTAGAAATAAATTTGTCAAACCACATAAAAATCCAAAACTGAAGTTCCAATTGTTATCATTTTTACTATAAAATTGAATCGATGAAGATGTGCCACAGTTATCTTGACAAAAAAATACCTTAAATGAAAAAAATATTTGTTCTTTTTTTTCATAATCTCAATAAAATTTAATGATTGTTTCCATTTGCCATAATTCTCAGTGAAAACTTCCAAGCATTTGTTCTATAAACACGAGACGAAGAATGTGTGTAATATTTTTGTACTTGTATGAGAAAAAAACGATAAAAAATTCTCTTGAAATACAATCAAATGTCGTCTTATTCAAAGTTAACTTACTAGATGAAGGGATTATTTCAATAATTATTCAAATAAATATAATCATTCAATGCCAATACAGACAGTAATTGTTTTTTTTTTGGTTAAGAGTCAGATGTTGAATACAATTTATTTTTGGTATGTGCAAAAAGGTCTTAACTTTGTGGTCTTGCGGTTATAAGTGCTCTATTAAAATTCAGTTTAAAATTCAGTTTGTTTTTTTTTTTAAATAGTCTATAGATTTGTATTAGCGATGGTTTTTTTTAGTTTTTCTTATTTCAAAATGAAAGACAGTAAGTTGATCTAACAATGTAATAAAAAGAAATGGTTGTTTTCTCCATCTAAAATGTCACAGTGATTTATCGGTTTTGAGAGGCTTAGCAAAAAGGTACAAGTCTTGAATAGTTGTTCACATGTCTTTTTTTTCGTCGTCATTTTAAATCTAAGACATAGTCTACAAATGTTGCTATGTGTGCGATTCCTGAAATTTGCATTATAAACTTTTGTTTGTCATCATATTTATAAAATTCTACTTCATTCCGCCTAAAATGTCTAAAACTTATACAGAGAGACTCTTGCGAAAAATCGTTAAAATCGTACGATTCAAGCAATGGCAATTACGAAGTAATGGATTTTCTTTTTGTGATTTCGCAGTCATCGAGTATGGTTTCGGAACATTTGTACCTCTAACGTCAGTAGAATACGTTGGTACAATTCCGGCGCTTTAATTTCTATGTAAGATTAAGCAGGAAAGGATTGAATTTGAGTGAGATAGAGAATTGGAAATATTTCTATTTGCTGACATCGTGTTTCCTATCGATTTTCGTCATTGCGGCTAATAGCGCACGTCGTATTAAGTCTTTATGATAATTGCAATAATCAAATCCACTCCAATTGGCGGAATAAAAATGTATATCCAATTGAATACAAAACACATGAGTTTAAATGTTGTCCCGAATCGATTCACCACAGTAAAATAGGGTGTATGTGATACAAACATATGGAATTAACTGGCGCTATGCCAAATTGCCATGGTTTGCGAAATGTTTATGAAATGGAATTTAATCTAAAAGCCAAAGCTATGAAGCGTACAAATTCAGTGTTTAACTTTCGTAGAAAAATCATTGCGATTTCATTGTATGTGTTACTGCATGGAACTACTGTAAAACACTTGACTGTTGTTTTTTTTCTCTTGTTTTGTTCTTCTCTTCAAATTCACTTAGCTGCGTCTGAATGTCTAAAACTAGTTAAAATCATGTTGTTTTGCGGTTTGCTTGAGCTAAAAAAATACATTCATCTAAAATATCATACAATTTATCAAACGCAAAAAGAGCACATTTTTGGTATTTGAACTAAATATTGAGCAATAATATGTTGTATAAATTTACTGGTGAGCATTGTTCTAAACTAAGGAAACAAAACCAAATGAAAAACTTATTCAAATATTATTTGCTTCACAGTTTATATCCATTGTGTCAAGTGAATCAGGCTAAAAACACGCTGTCAACTAAGCAGCTCCTGAAAATGTGGTTTCTTTTAAAACTAGTTACCTACGTAGCTAATAAACAAAAAGAATGGAAAGAAACATATTACAATTTCAGCAATTTTTTAAAAATGGAAATTAAAAGAGATTCGGCCATGAAAACTGGTATTAATTTTTTTTTTGCTAGATTTTCCTAAGTCGTGGATTTATTTCGTGGGTGAAAATAGTACGTTATTTTTATTAAATTTTTTTTATTCACAGACGTGTTGTTCGATTGTAGCAGCTAAAATGTAGAAAAAAAAATTCGAAATATAAACAATTTGAATTATAAAATTATTTTTTGGACAAAATTAACATTCAACAACTAACACACTACATCTAAAGAGTAAGACAGGGTGTGATATGTACTATATTAAATAGGTGAAACTAGAACAAAAATATTTGCAATACTTTCGCTTCACTTTGTTGTGTGTGTGTGTGTGTGTATGGAAAAGGTATCAGAGTGAAATATACAAGATGAGAAAAGATGGAAAGAAATGGAAAAAATCTCGAAAAGAATAAAGGAAGAAAAGTCGAAAGTAATTTCGATGAAACATGCCTGGATTTTTGTTTGAAACAAAACTTAAGGAAGACTTGTGTGATTCAAAAAGTCCCAAGAAATAAGTAAAATGAGAATACACACACAGATACAGAGAAAAATGGTAGAAAAAGAGAGCGAATCAAATGGATCATATGTTTTTTTGTTTGTTTCATTCCTCGTTTGGAGAACAAATTAATCGTGAAAGTCTTTTTTCAATAACATCAAATAGATTTCGCGGCCATACCTTTCGAGTAAGCGACGCTTTAATTCTGGCGGATACGTAACGTAAATGTAATGTTCACTTTGGCTGAGCTCATTGAAATCGTGGGCCGTATAAAATTCATCTGGATAGCCACCGGCTGGTGTGGTCGAACGTGATGTGGGCATCGGATTTACGGAAACGGACACAGGAATATTGGACATTGACGCTGATGGATTATGGTGTTGATGGTGTTGTTGTTGTTGTTGTTGTTGTTGCCCCATTAGATGGGATTGTGTTGGATGTGGATGATGCGTTGTATGCAACAATGGTGTTATGGTGCCGCTAGTGTAGTGCGATTGATGGTATGCTTGCTGTTGTTGCTGTTGCTGTTGCTGATTATGTATGTGATGGTGTGTTGGACTCATGTGACCACCACTTTGCATGTAATTGCTGGTTGGCATGGTTGGCGGCGGACTCATGTGATCGTCAGAGCTAAAGATTCGTGTGTAATTGTTTTGTTTTTGGTTGCAGTACGTGGTTGTGCAGTGTTATTGCGTGTGTAACACAGAGTGCGAACAATATCACATGGTTTTTTTTTAATTGAACGGTCATCACACAGATTATGGGTTTATCGAAAGCGCATAAAAAAGGGTACAAACAACAATTAATGCCATTTTATTGCACATTTTCAATAATTTAATATAATTTCCGTTTACATTTTTGACAATCTAATTATAAGCCAATGAATTAATTTTTGAATTTTGCTTTGGGTTTCTTTTGTCACCAATTTCTTATTGATCTTTTTGAGGTAGTTTTTTAAGCAATGTGAAATATATAATTTCAAAACGGGACAATTATATTTGCATTAGAAAATCTACAAATTAAAGACGAAAACTTAGTGGACATCAAGACACACATAAAAATCATTTTCAAGCGGGTATCCAACACTTACTCGAATAAAATCCATATGATGTAATAACAAAAACAAACACCAAACGACAGCAGTAGAACTAAAATGAACACTAATCCCCATGGGAAAGCTCTTTGTTCGATCGGTCCATCCTCGAAATATCGATCACATGTCAAATACCAGCACACCGCTCGGTTCAGTTCATCTAAAAGTATGAGAGTAAGTTTATTTTGTTTCAATCCAATGAATATTTCATGCATTGATTTGGTGATGTATCTATTTAGTTTTACCTTCCATTGCTTTAAAATCATCATTGGACAGTTGTACCAGCAGGCCAGCAACGCAGTCTCGTACTAACATTTGACATTTTTGTTGTAATTGCTCCAATTCATCTGGTTTGCAGTTGGCTTTCATTCGCTGAAATTCGGTGATTCGTTGTTTCTTTTTGTCGACCGGAGGTAGTGATGAATCGACTATCGTTTCATCACCGGAACTTGTCGCATTGCAATCGCTTTCCTCCGAATTGTCGCTTTCTTCGGGATTGGCTTTTTTCTCTTGTTGTTCTGCTGAACAAAAAAAAAACAACATAAACAAATCAATTGAAACTAATTTGGCTTTAACCTAAACTTAACTTTAGATAAAACTTAAGAGAAAACCTTACCATTTGTCTTAGAATCGCTAGCACCATCTTTCACTTCATCTCGATCGCATCCCATTGAATTATCACAATGTCTCAAACATTCATTGGTTTCAGCGTTGCAATTGTCATTGCTGTGCACTGGCTCATCGGAATTCTGTCGCAGCAGTGAGGGTAAAAAATGTCTATTTGGTAGTTTGGCTAGAGATCTTGGTCCAGTTGAACTCATTGAAGTGCGAAATGCCGTCGCCTCGTTCCATAATTCAACATCCGTTGATATTGTCGATTCGCCAAATGAAAGTGTTGAATCTTTCGACAGTAACACTTTGCATCGCATTATATCGCAATAGTTTGATAAGCAAACGGCATCTTCGGCGGAATTGATAACCGAACTGTGTCGCGCATCAAAATGCATATCTAAAAATTTCTCCTCGAAAAAACTTTTGCCACACAAATTGCAAGTCCATTGATTTCGGCGATTTTGTGTTTTGGCCGCTTGTTGCGGCGCAAAAATCTCGCGTAACGGATGGAACGGACATTCCAACGGCAATTTTACCTGCGAAAGATTAAGTTTTAAATGGTCATTAGTTTCGTTTTTGATTGGAGAAAAGAAGAAAAGGAACAGATCTAAGCGGGTAGAACTAATACATACGTTTAAAACGGATACTTTTCTTCGAATCTATAACTTTTTCTTATGACCGGAGCTATTTCCGGAAATGTAAAAGCAAATTTTGTTCAACAATTGATTTTCCAAATGACATACCTGATATTTTTCAAGGATTGGAAGCCATCGAGTTTGTACGATTTTCCGTACAACACGCGCACTATCGCGTGAGCATGATATTTTGAATACGCTCGGCGCTGGCCACGGTATGAATGATAAAAAACAAATGAGTATCACCTGGACAAGAGAGAGAAAAAAAAACGTGGAAACACATAAATTCCATTAATTAATTTCATTTGTGGAAAGTAGCAATTTAAATTTCTTGAAAATAGTCGTTAAATTGTTTCAATTCCCTCAATTACGATGTTAATTAGTATTTATTAAGTAAATTTTTTGTAAAAATCAAATTACACGTATGTAATTCATTCGCTTCACATAAAAAGTATGTTTTTCATTAAGTAATAATAAGGTGATATAATTAGCGTCAACAAATGAAGTGGAATGAAATGAACCACTTAAAATCGCCAATCTAATGGAAAATTGAATGAATTCACATAAAGACGTTGGTATTATTCGTCGCTTGTTATTCCAAAACACAATCAAATGCATTGCACTGCTGCTCTACATTTCGTCCACATCGGCCTACACAAACTAAACTCCGAATATCGATTTTACATGTTCAACATATATATATATATATATCTGTTTCCAAACACTTTGACCCCTTCGATCGATATTTGCTGAGCACATATCCGGTGAACCATTGTATCCAAATTATAAATAGCCTCATATGTTGTTTGCGATCAATTAATCTTATTTGCGATTTATCCACAAATTTCAACGGAAAACTTTGCGGAAATGAGATTGCAGTAGAAATCCCCAGGTCAAATACAATGCCTGTTTAAATTTTCATTTCGAATCGAAATGGTCTCTTCGGTGAAAAATTCCATGTCTTACCTCGATATTATTATATTTAGTCCACATTCATAAATCATAATATTTAAATCTTTGGTATAATGAAAATGGTTTCGGTTTTTTTTGTTTGATTCAATTGATTTCACTCGTGAGAGAAAGAAAGATTGAAAAAAAGGTTTTTTTTCTGCCCGTAAAAAAGAAGTACGCAATTCGTAGTGTTCGACGCCTGAATGTATACTGTCACAATATTTTCCATCTTCATGCAGTATGCAGTGGATGAACCCAGACAACTGTATGCTGTCAATTCTATGGTTTCGAAATGTCAAATAGAACAATCGTTGTTGATCTTCATTTGACCATATTTCGATGAGAAAAGTAGTTTTTTCAATGGTTTTTCTTTCCGAATTCGAATAGAGTCCAATAATTTAACGCGATTCTTATTCATGTCAAAATATATTTCGAAATGAATTTCCAATTAAAAAACGATTCACACAGTCAAATTCAAACATGAACATGCATCAATTGCCATTGAACGAACTCGATTCCCCTTCGTATGCAATGCTGACATTGACATATGGTCATTGGCCAATCAGCGTTAACCACCACATCGTTTGAAATATCTGCTCTCTTCTAACTAACGAGTATGCGCTATGCGCACAAATGCGATGTGTAATTTTTGACAGGTCGGCACTCGTCTATCGAATACACTATCGATATAAAGAAACAGTCAACGTTTTATATATTTCGGGCCACAAATCCGTAACACTATGAATATTTAATTGTGAAAAAAAAAATTGTTTTAATTTTAAGAAATCACATTAAAATCGCATTAATTTTAATTATTGAAACAACCATTTCAATTCGTGTTTGTGTGACCGTAACATTTTCACTTAGAACAAACGTTTACAAGTGAATCGGAACCAAAATGAAATTTCATTCTAGTTTTTTAGTTAGTTTATTACTTGTGATTTCACAAAACGTCTGCCAAGCGGAAGATGATTATTATGAAATTTTGGGCATAGAACGATCGGCAACTTCGTATGAAATTAAAAAAGCATACCGAAGGAAGGCGCTGAAGGAGCATCCAGACACGAATCGCGATGATCCCGATGCCACTGAGCGATTCCAACGCGTGAATAAGGCGTATGAAGTGTTATCGGATGATGATAAGCGAAAAGCATATGATCGATGTGGCGTAAAATGTGTTGAACGTGAAGGATCTATGGATCATACCGATCCATTTGCCAGTTTCTTTGGCGACTTTGGCTTTTCATTCGGCGGCGAGGATCGTGGACCACGCGATACACCAAAAGGTGGCACTATTACTATGGATCTCTTTGTAACGCTTGAAGAACTATATTCCGGCAATTTTATTGAGGTGAGTCATGCATCACTCACTGTTCAATAGAACCTTGAATGTCGATAATGTCGTCATGGTAGCGAACATTTTAACCAATTTACTTTTTTTTTTTAAATCACAAACAGATAACGAGAAACAAGCCAGTTATGAAACCAGCTTCCGGCACTCGCAAGTGCAATTGTCGTCAGGAAATGGTGACACGTAATCTTGGACCAGGCCGGTTCCAAATGATTCAACAAACTGTAAGTTGACATTTTCAATATGAAAATCAGTCTTTTTTACGCATTTCGAATGAAAATTTTGATTATTTGATTGAATTTCAATTCAAAGGTTTGTGACGAATGCCCAAACGTGAAAATGGTAAACGAAGAACGCCTTTTGGAAGTTGAAGTCGAAGTCGGAATGGTTGATGGCCAAGAGAGCATCTGGACTGCTGAGGGTGAACCACATATGGACGGCGATCCGGGTGATCTTAAACTCAGAATTCGCACAATGCCACATCCAGTGTTCGAACGACGTGGCGATGATCTCTATACAAACATTACAATTAGTCTACAGGTAAGTTTATTATTTTCATTGGATTGTTCACAAAAATATCTTTTTTCCAGCGAAGTTTTCTTGTTGAATTTTTTGTATTTCTATAAATTAAAGCTCCTTTATCCGATTGAATTTTAACAAACAAACATTTTGCCAATTTCAGGACGCATTGACTGGATTCACGGTAGAAATTCCACATCTCGATGGTCACAAAGTAGTCGTTACACGAGAAAAAGTCACTTGGCCAGGTGCTCGTATCCGTAAGAAGGGCGAAGGTATGCCAAACTACGAGAACAACAACCAGAAGGGAGTTCTTTACATCACATTCGACGTTGAGTTCCCAAAACAAGAATTTACGGACGAAGAAAAGGAAAGTGTGCGGAATTTATTGAAGCAAGATGCCAACAATCGAGTGTACAATGGCCTTCATGGAACGTAAACATGCCAATTGCTGTCACCCGTTTCGTTTTTTTCAAATTATGTTTCGTAATTTAGGTGCACATCTTTGTAATTTAGTCGACTTTAGTGAAGAAGAGAAAAAAAAACAATTGAAAGTCGCATAAACAAAAAAATGAATCATGTGTTTGATTCCAACCGATGAACTCTGATGAATTGCATTAGATTCATTAACAAACAATGTAAATAATAGATAATATTAAGTGAAAAAAAAACCAACCACAACAAAACAAAAATAAAATATGTCTTTCAAAGCTCAAACCGTTCTGCTCTTAATTTCAGCGTGATAACGTAATTGTATGTCTCAAAGAAAACGCATTCCGGTATTGCAAATACAATGTTGCTCAAGTGTACAATTAAATGCAAATCTATTTAGCATGAACAGAAATATCTCATCTATGTTTATCTCTGGACTATGTACGTTCAGTCGGAGTACACAGCACGGCATTTTTCTCTTTCGAGTATGTTTCTATGGCAACAAGTGCGCAGTCTCTAAACCCACACCCACACGAACTCTGCATCGGGTTACAGTACATAAACTAACACAGGCACACTGCCAGCATCACTTCATCCTATTGATAAAGTGAGAGAGATGAAAAACAATCAGTAGCAAACACAATTTAATTCGCATATTTTTTTACCAGTTTTCAGTAGTTGCACTCGAGTTACTGCCTCCAGATGAGGATTTTTAGTAGAAAATTTGTGGATTTTGGGTGGTCAAGTGAAGAAGAAAATATGGTTTTGATGTTTTGCAAAACCAAAAATTAACCAAACCATAAGTTGATACCAATGCTTGGTGCGAAAAACATTAAAAGTTTTAACACAGAAACATATAATTTACAAAGAATTCAACGATCATAGAAAAGTATGAGAGTCATTCAAGAGCTGCGTTTTGTTTTTTGCAATGTGTAACATTGTTTATGAACAGTGTGACCGACCATAAGTTATAAAATAAATCTGCCATAAATTTTTCCATAGAGTTCTTATCAATTTGAATATAATAACACTGTGCGAAAAAAAAATTTGAAGTAGTCTAACCCAGAGTGGATGTATTGAAGTTTGGAGAGGCCCACGAGACAGGAAAATTCCCAAAAGGATTTTTCCAAATTGGTTCTATATAAGAAAATTCTGGCCATTTGAGAAATTTGGTTTGCAGAGGATTTTCAAAAGAACTTGTAGGAAACCAGAGATGGAGTATTCGTATGTATATCAATTCGTTGTATTTACTGTACTCCGTACAGAACGGTATATATACATTGATATACCTTTGCGTTCGCTGTCACAAAAGTGGTAGCTGACGCATGCGCTCAACACGTTAAACGCAAAGGTATACGGTTTAGTATATACCGATACACATTTTCATACAATTGTGGTAAACAATGAACCATCTCTGTTGGAAACTTTGCCCTAAGATTGCGTTCCTAACTTCTTTCAATGTATTTCCGTGTGGCGACTGTTGAACGTCAGAGTCATTTGAGGCGACGCGAGCGCCCCCAATTTCAAAGGGCACATCAATGTAATTTAACATTTCAAATCGGAACTAAACAGCGCGCCAATTCGAAATATAGGAAAATATAGTGTCAACAGCCGCACCATGTGTATTTCCTATGGTTATTTGGGGTGCGCTCACTACCGATTGTACTGATTTGACATTTAGGGCATAAATTTGATCGAATTTCCAACAAGTTTTTTACTTTTACTTGGTTTTTTGCTTTTTCATGCAAAAAAATGTGACGAACGGGTCAAAAGTAGTAGAAAACGACCGAAAAAACTCAAATCAGCAATAAAACATGGCTAAAAAAGTTAAATTTTGAGGATATATAAGAAAAATGATACTTTTACCTGTTTGGACCCAAAAAAGTCCGAAGTAGCTATGTTTTATTGCTGATTTGAGTTTCTTCGGTCATTTTTCACTACTTTTGACCCGACACATGGATTTGCATGAAAAAGCAAAAAACCAAGTAAAAGTAAATTTTGAAAATCCTCTTCAAACTAAAATTTTCAAATGGCCAGAATTTTCTTATATGGAACCAATTTGGAAAAATCCTTTTTGGGATTTTCCTGTCTCATAGGCCTCTCCAAACTTCAATATATCCGCTCTAGGTTAGACCAATCCAAATTTTTTTTTCTCGCACAGTGTAATCATGTAAATGAAGTATTTCCTTGCAACAAAACATATCTCAGTCAGATTAAACCATCACACTTCGGAAATAGGAGCAGTTGCAACCGAATAGATTCCAGGTATTGTATAAGCAACATGAAATATCAAGTATCCGTAATATGTTTGCAGAATCATGAAATATGGATCTATTTTTAACTGTAGTGCACTCAATTGTAAACAAATGGGCTAATGATTTTGTAGCGTGAAGCCAATCCTATCGTATTGTACGCAGTATTCTGCGTCAAAAATGCATTTTGCACATCAAATAGGCATAAAGTCGCATTTTATTTTGATTAATCATATTTTAGCCAAATTTATATGCATTCAATAAGTTTTCAAATGAAAAGGATTGATTTTTATTAGCTCTTTCAATTGAATCAACGCGTATTTAGCAGTTTTGTTCAAATAATTGTAATTCTCTTCTGTTCTGAAAATAAATTACGCCCAACAGAAATGTTTGAATATAAAAAAAGTAATTCGAATTTCATTTATCCTTTTCAGGAATGTTTTACATTTTATTGACGAACATTTGGTCGCTCGTCACGGTGGTCACAAACAAACTAACCGCCATAAAACTGTTGGTCATTTTGATAATCGCTTTCGGAGTATTGCTGTACATCATTGATTTGTCATCGTTGCGGCTGTCACAATTCAAATTACCCTTGGTATTCAGTGCGAACGAGAATCGGAAATGGGATTGGAAATTTATGGAGGAAATGGATCGAGAGAACCAAATTTTATATCAATCATATTTCATAGACACGGAAGGATGTCGCATGCCTGGTTTTAAGGTGTTCGATGAAAAAGTGCAAAAGTTCATGTTTAATGCACGACCAATTCAGTGTGGCAAGCCGTTGGTTCGGTCAAATAACAATTATCTGTGGATCGATTTGAATGAGACTGAAATAGAAAATACATACGGAGTTGATGACGTGAACGAACTAAAATGTGAATATCAACCATTCCGTCGTAAAAACGATTTTGAAAACGAATACCCGAGAACCAATCAAAAAATTATCTTCCGATTCGGTGACGTAGTGCGAGTTCCCGAAGAATTTATACGAGTTGTGTGTCGTGTGCCCGGCCGAAAGAAGGACGTTTATCAAGACTACCATTTTTTTGTGAAACACAAACAAGCAACAAGTGAACGAAATGATAAGAATCAAATTTCGGACATCGATAGCATTGGCGCAGAAGATGAAAGTAAAAAGAGTAAGAGCAATGAACCGATGAGCGTTATGGTGATTGGCATTGATAGTGTGTCGCGTTTGAATTTCCATCGAAAAATGAACGAGAGTGCTACAGTGTTGCTAAACGATTTACGGGCAATCGAAATGTTTGGCTTCAATAAAGTCGCCGATAATACATATCCAAATTTGATACCAACGTTGACGGGGCTGGATGAAAACGAATTGATTACAGCTTGTATTCCAGGCAAAAACGATACATTCGATCGATGTAATTTCATTTGGAAAACATTTAAAGAAAAGAATTTTGCCACAGCTTACGTCGAAGATGCAGCATCGCTTGGTCTGTTTCAATTCATGAAACGAGGCTTCACAAATCAACCGACCGATTACAGTATGCGTCCAATTTTAATCGAAATGGAACGACACATTTCAAAGCAAAAAAATGTCAACACATTTTTGTGTCTGGGTAAACGGCGTACATTTGATGTTCTACTGGAATATGCACAGAAGTTCATCACATTGATGACAGACCGTTTACACTTTTCCTTCTTTTGGTCCACATCATACACTCATGACTATCTCAATTTTCCTACGTTAATCGATGCCAATCTGGCTGAATTCTTGCTAGAGATGCAAAC